CAACGTTCTCATCCACGGTGTACCAGAACCGTTCATGAGGCAAGGTAGACTGAGGAAACGGTACATGCGGGAGCACTTGGCCACGTTGTTAAGGGCGGTAGCGCTCCCCGACCATGTATTGCTCAAAAGAGTAATTAGACTTGGGCAGTGGAGGGACCCTTATGCGATAGGAGCAGCAGAACCTAGGCCCATCATAGTAAAATTCAGAAACCCCAGGTATAGAGACAGGTTCTCAGCTGAAGCGTAAAAGATCCGGACAACCTCGGGTGGTAATGTCCGAGTGACACCCGGTGATCGGCCTAGTAGGAGGTTGAAATCGGAAACCATTGCGTGGGTGGCGCAAGCGCATCAAGCAATAGTCGTTGTGCCCAAACTGGCCGGTGGAATCATGGAACCAGGGGCCCTCCAACTCCACACGAAGGCTCAGCAANAAAAATACCCAGTAGGCCAAAACGGGCTCGAAAACCTGATTCGTTTGGGGAAACGAACGAAAAGGCAACAATAAACGAAAAACCGGCCCAAAAATCGGGACTCAAGCTCGGGAGTAATTCCCGAGGAGCCACCCTCCCCTAGCGAAATGCCGAACACTAGGGGAGGAGTCCCACTGCATATTGTATATACAACTGCGTGTAGCGTAGGAAACAAATGGTCAGAGCTCAAAGTAGAGGCAGGAAAATGCGATATTGTGGCGATCACGGAAACCTGGCTCCGGCCAGGATCAGAAATCAGGCACCAATACCCGCCAGGCTTCTGCGATTATCGCACCGATAGAATGGACGGCAGAATAGGTGGAGGGACCCTCATACTAATGGCACAGCACCTACACCAGAGCCACAGGGGTGATCTCACGATATCAACGCCTAACATCCAGGTTTCCGGCTGTGTAGTGAGNCCAAACTGACGGTAGTTAGCGTTTACAGGAGCCCATCATCCACGGCCACGGCGCTGCTACTCGCGCTACGTACGACAGCTCGCCACTATGGGAAACTTCTGATCCTCAGGGATTTCAACACCCCAGAGATCAACTGGGGTGAAGAAAGTGCCCCACTGGGTTCCTTTGGCCATGCGTTACTGAACCTGCTGCACGATGAAGCCCTCGTAAGAGAGGATACGCGATGGCGAGATGGCAGCAGGCCCACCAGGTTGGACCTGGTAATAACGAAGGGGGCGAACGATATAGAAAGTATTCCGCTAATGGCCCCACTGGGTAAAAGTGACCATGCCCTACTTCATCTTACCATGTCCATCCGAGGGTTAACCGCCCCCGACAACAGAAGGCGAAATTATGGGGGAATGAACATAGCGCACCTCCTACGAGATGCAAATACCATGTCATGGGAGTTTCACCCGAGTGAGTCATTAGACGAGAGTTGGAATCTAGTTAAGTCCAACGTACTGCAGCTCACGCATACTCATGCTCCGCTGAGGAACATTAGGAGAAACGGCAAGCCACCGTGGTGGAAGGCGTGATTGCAGAAGTCTCAGGCTCATAAACAACAAGCGTGGGGAAGACTTATAGCCTCAGGCAGCCACCCCAGGTTCCTAGAATACGACCGAAGGTGGAAGCGTGCAATAGCGGTCCAGCGGGCATGCAGGGTAACATATGAAGGAAAGCTGGTGAGGAACGCGAAACTCAACCCCAAAGCCTACTTTAATTATGTCCAATCCAAGGCCACAATTAGAGGGGCGGTCGGGAACGTCCGAAACGAGGACGGAGTTACCGCGGAATCAAATGATGAAAAGGCGGATATTTTCCGCCGCTACTTCGAAAGGGTTCACCAACCGGATAGAGGGGGAAAGCTTCCACCACCACCCCCCCCCCTAGAACGGGAAATACCCGCAATGGCCGAAGTCATCATCATCGAAGATGAGGTAAAGGCCCAACTGCAGGCGCTGAAGAGCACCAAGGCAGCGGGACCCGATGATATTCACCCGGCTATCCTGAAACCGCTGGCTGAGGTGCTTGCTGCACCACTAGC